GCTCAATTTACCAAAGACATGGATCGACTCCTAATAGCTCCTACGATAGGATCTAGATCAGATCGTGAGCTCTCAGGTGAAGGGGTTTCTAACGCCTTGGGGAGGACAGGAAAAGGGTCTCCCGCACTAAGTCTATGATGGTGGTGTTGCTGTAATAGACCATTCGGTCGACCAGTGAGATTCAGGTCTGGTCCGGGTGAGGAAGCTAGCTGGTCAGACGCTAGTTCCCGCAGCAATCTCGCTCTTTCTGCATCCACTCGCTTTGCCAAATCCGATCCAGTACGAGGAAGTCCGCTATACGACGACGATGCAGATGACCATCGTGTATGACTGAGGCGCTCGACATCAGAACCTTGACGCGAGAGATTGCGTAAAGCTGAGGGTGGGGGAGTGTTTGTGATACCGGATATTGGCCCTAATGCTGGCTTTGAGAGATTTGGTGGAGGGGAAGCCGAGTGCTCTTCGCTTCTTGCTCTTCTCTGCATGTAACTTGACTTCCAAGCGCTATCATTGTCAGATGTTCTGCTATTCGGGAACGGATGTAATTGTTGGGATATATCCACGGCCGTGGTAGTCTGAGATTGCGATACCGGTTGATGGGCCTGCTGTGCACCAAATAACTTGGCTTCTCTCTCCCTTTCAAATGCAATGCGGCCTGCACCGACGGCTTCATTCCATATCCTTGCGAGCATGGGATGGCGTTTGATATTCTTCTCAATGACCATATCCTCCACCTCTTTGCTTAGCAGCCGCATGATGTTGTTATCAAGTTCCATGCCTCCCAAGCCTGCCGTCGCTGTTGAGTTCGAGACTCTGCCTTGAGTGGCAGGGGTTCGTAAAGCTGAGTTCGATGACACATTGCGCTGCGTCTTCTTCGAGGAGCCGGGTGAAGGAATAAATGATGTTGCACGATCTGATTCGCTCAATAAAGGCGCTGTCTTGGCTGGAGTGGCTGATACTTCTGCATTCGAAGCTTGGGGCTCCGCGGCAGTAGCCATGGTATCCAGGGTTTCTTCAACCTCGCCGTGGGCAGCTTTGAGCTCTGTATATATCATGCGACTGATCTCTCGATCGAGTCGGGCTGCTATCTCCGTGACTTGTTTCACAACCGCATAGAGGGCCGTCCTTTCCTGTTCCCATTCTCCTGGAGTGGCACTTCCGGTTCCAGCAAATATAGGCATGATAGCAGGCCCAATGCGGGTGATTGCTATAGACATGGAGATGAAAAGTAGATGCAGAAACCGGATGTGCTGAAAGGCGACACGAGAGGGAAAGATTGATGTTAGGACGGGAAACGGAGGTGATAGAATGAGTAAAAGTTCGAGGGATGCAATGGCAAAAAAGAGATTATATCGCCACTGAATTGATGTATATCAGCCTTCGATAGATACAGACTAGACTGTAGAACTCACAAATGCTCCAAAGCCACTTTGGCCAAAGATCGCATATAGTAACATCGCAACAGTAGAGACGAGGTAAAATCCGGAACTAGCCATTAGACCTCGCTCCAAATAATCACCGACGGTAGTGCATTCTGCTGCCCAACTGACTACCTCAGGACCAAATCTGTCATAGGCAAATCTCTTTGTGCTGCTTTTCAGGGTATCGAACGCATCGCGCGAGGCAATGAACCGTTGTTCTCCGCTCGCCCCTACCCTATCCGGATGATTGTATCGGGCGAAATTCCGGAATGCTGCTTTCAAAGTACTTTCGTCCACATCTGGGAAGACCCCAAGAAGTTCGTAAAAGTTTGGGGGTGCCTGTATATAGGCTTGTATCGACGTATAAATGAGATAAAGGAGGATGACGACAGAGAATGATATTCGCTGTTGTACAGCATAGCCAGGTGATCCTGGTGGAGGTGGAGTTTGGGGTTTGAATCCAAGGAGAGGAGGTACAACTACTTGAGCATGTCGCAGCACTCTTAGTAGCAGCCGTGCTCCCAGGTCCGGCAAGAAGGCCCACCCTATCATGCGTAAACCTGTTTCCGCACTAGAAGAGAGCATAATGAATTTTTATTATGGAACGAAATGCCGATATGCTTTGTAATCTGTCAAGACGGTCAATAAACTTGCGTTATTAAACATAGGTCGTTTAAAAATGAATCAGCGGTCCTCAGGACTCTTTTCAATTTATGTCATATCACAACCCAAGCTCTCCTGTAGGCTCCCTCTATGCTCTACAAGATGATGGACCACAACCACGTGCCGATGCATTGGACTTTAGCCATCGACACACTAGTAACATGGTCCCCCCCCTCATAAGAGGTATATGTCCTTTCCGAAACCACACTGTGCCACTTTCATCCGGTATATGTGTACAACGATCCTGACCGGTAGCGACCAGAAACATGTACGTGCAGACGAAAGCTTGGCGAGGAAAGGGTGCGCCCTCGCTCCCAGAGTATATTAGCCTATAGCTATATATCGGGTTCGATAGCGCACTTCAGCGCTCCATCTGAACGATGGAGCTTTGTATGACCGTGCCTTTACCTGAACGACATGGAGCTTCAGTCCCTTCAGGTCATGCTTGGTCCTCCAGATTCTCTGGATGAGTCGTATTCGTCCCGCCTTACGACATGAACACGCATTGAGCTTTTGCGAACCTGCCGAGAATATGAACGTGTAGAGTGCGATGAACGCATCGCGAGAGGGAGGCCAAAACAGAAGAGCGGACGAGTCGAGTCAACTCTTTTACTATAGCATCATGTTTTAAACGTAAAGAATTCACCTACTTGAGCGTTAGCTATACAACAGCTTAGCAGACAACTGCCCGCACGGCTGGTGGCTGGTCCAACGTGACGTGCGAGAGAATGATGTTGCGCAATATTAAATTAACGCAGTAATGACTTTGAGTCGTCCAATCTTGTGCAAGAGGAAAGCTTTGCTGGATTTCGGTGAAATGACGGCCAAGGTGAGGTCCAACTTTAGAAATCAGCTTCTGTCACCAACTTGACCAGAGCCGCCATATATCGACCATGGCCGAGACAGAGCAAGCTCAGAACGACACTATCCCCATCAGAATACAATTCGGAGGTGGTGCAGAACTATTATTTGGAAACGTGCGATCGCATGATGTGGTGGTCCCCGCAAAGGCTCCAGCCACACCCAGCGGTTCCAAACAAGCGGGTAGACCAGCGGATGTGACCTTCTTAATCGATTGGATGAGATCAAACATACTGAAGGAAAGAGAAGAGCTGTTTATTGAAGGCGAAGGAATGTAAGTGTTTAATTATCGTGGATGAAGCCGCATCGATGCCACTTCGCGGCTCCATTTCCGAATAGCGTAGAGTCACCACATTGTGCTCATCATACGTACAATAGACGACCTGGAATACTCGTATTGATTAACGACGTAGATTGGGAACTCGAAGGAGAAGGCGACTATCTACTTCGGCAAGGCGATGAGGTCGTTTTCATCAGTACTCTCCATGGTGGATGATAGATGGCTCGACACTACTGTATCGACTATAAAAGTGACATTAAGAAGTTGCCTAGCACGTTGAATACCAGCGTTGTTTCTTGGGGAGAAGCCAGGTAGCTCTAAACATTCGATTCATTCCGACAAGGGACTTGTCATCAATTCGATAGACGTTACCAATGGTCTTTGTGTCGATTCTTCGTTGTATTCGCTTAATATTACCATACTCCCTAGTGTAATAGGAAGATACTCATGCGTAATGCGCGTCACACTTTCATTTTCAAATGATAAGAACGGTTTTCTCTCTGAAATACGGATTTCTTTGTGTTCATTTACGCTTGCTAGCGATTTTACGCGCTTCTGAGTTTCATCGGGTGGTGAACGCCACCTACAGGTTTGACCCTCACCACTTGAATGTCGGACGCGCCAATCTTCTTCAAGAAGACCAAAAGCAAGACCGTAAAGTCACGTGAAGCCAGAGAAGATGATGAGGAGGTCACAACAGAAACAAAGACCGTAGTGTCTAACTTCAAGAACCGAAATAAAGGCCGTTCCAAACCACAGCAAAGACTCTCATTTAATACGAATGATGAGGTTAGTCCTGTCCCACGTTCTCATCTCAATACTTTCATTGTTTCGTTGCTGATTTTTTCGGTGGTGAATATAGGAGGAAGGGGATGGTAACAATGATGCTATTCAAGTGAAGAGATCTGCGTTAGGCAAAAAGCAGAAGTTTGGTATTGGAGCAGCCCCTAAGTATGTATTTTCTCTGTTAAGAGACTTTCAAATTCGAGACAAAACCATCCTGACGAGTGCAGTTCAAGTCCAGGTTCCCTTCTTTCCTCACGGCTGGAACAAACTTCTATCACTTCACGTTCAGAAGGACCAAGATATGACGCAAGCTATTTAGAAGAGTTGAAAGCCAGTACAAATAGTGCGCGACCACCGGCTCTACGACCTGGTGTGGATGGGGCAGAGCCAAATGGAATGGTAATCGACAATGACCTCACATTTGATGCGAGTGAAATGGAGGGTGCAATCATTGAAGAAGTCGTGGATATGCCGTTGGTCTCTCAAAATCCTGCAGCGGATACTATGATTCATTCAGAGTCTTACGTCAAGTCTGCACGCGAAAAGAGGGAACGTTTACGGAAAACTGGCATCAATGATAGCGAAGCCGACTATATATCTCTGACAGTGGCGAGAAAGGAAGAGTTTGACTCTGGTCCACATCCCGAGAGTAGACTCATGAGAGAAGACGACGATCTGGGTGAAGGAGACGATGGTCGGTCCCTCTACATCTGTACTCTTCTCTTTCTTATATCTTTTATAGATGATGCAGCCTATACCGGTGCACAAGAGCGAATAGCTCTGAGCAAGAAAGGCCGCAAGGAGCAAGAGAAACAACGGAAAAAGGGGATGGAAGAGCTAATAGAAGAAGCGTAAGTCGTTCTTTATCCGTAGATCATGACTCAAGAAAGAAAACTTGGCTGATAGGGACGAGCAGGACGAAGAAACGATGGAATGGGAGATGGCCCAAGTAAAAAGGGCTGTGCCTACGGAAGCCAATGAAGTTAATAATCAAAAATCTCAACCACTAACATACAAGCCTACCGCAAGTAAGCCATATCTAGCGTGTTGCGTCGTGATCAACCATTTGACCGTTTTATTTGCTAGTACCTGCACCAA